CAGTGCCTACCTACCCACGAACTGTGCCAACACTGTGCTGACAAGGCTGCGTAGCAGGCAACAAATGAGGCTTGCCAGGCAAATCGTTTCAACATAGAAAGAAAAAATTATATTGGTGATGAGTATCTGGCTGGTGCCTATTGAATGGGTCCGTCAAGCTGAAGTTATCTCATTGTCTTGTTGAAATACTGCAGATTTTCAGCTTTATATGCGATTACCACAAGATCTGCTTTTTTTGTACTTGTGTTCTTTCTTCTCACAAACCACACTATCTCGAATCATAGATTTTGGCCATTTCTTAGATAACGTAATAGAAAATATGTTGACGAAGAATTATTGTTGTATGAGGAAGTGCTCTTCTGCAATGCGACATCTGATAGCTATAATCAAGTGTTAATTAGGTACCTGAAGTTAAAAAGTTTACAAAAAATGAGCACTAAAATTTTGAGGGCTGTATCTGCTTCAGTAAGAAGAGAAATGACTCAAGATCACAATGATAGTAAAATAGTTACTGTAACTCATGGTTATAGAAAAAAGGTACATAAACTGTTCCTAAAATGGCAGGTATAGGGCTTACCCTGTTCCCTTAAATAAAGACCGTGGTATCAAGAATCACAAAAAAAGAATATCATAGAAGCAGCATTTGTCATATATGCTGTCAATTACACCTTGTGCATGTTAATAGCAATAAGCTGTGTGGCAACAGCGATTTTGATATCTTCTTCATGCAGTACGCAGAGTTCACAAACACAGTTTCAAGTTGTGACGATAATGTCCATATCCGTGATCACTGAGCTTAGCCTTTGAAAGTAGAATGTGGTGGCACAATCGGTTTGCATAAGATTAGCCATTTCAAACTATCCGAGAATGGCTACAGCAACAGAAGTTGCAAATTGCTCACTAACACATAACTCATTATTCTGCACATTAGCAAAGTGCACTAACGTCCTAACATAGCTATACCCTTTATGATGTTGTCAATTAATTAAGCCTGAGCGCTTAGTAATGGGTGGGCCTTTAAACCACCCCCTCTGTATACCATCCATATAATGTCATGTGCAATTCGACACTTCTGCCCTGCAATATTACATGCATTAACACAACTCCCAGTATTAATAATACATGTATAGCATCTTTTGTTTTAAACTCAAAGTGTTTCAAGCACTACCGTGACTCTGAAGTAGAACATCTGCTTGCCATGCAGAAAGCCTGGTTCGATTCCGGCTCAGGCCTATGATTTTTAATATTCGCATCCATCACAAATTTTGACTCACAACCATTGACGGGAACATCAGGATTTCTATGAAACAAGTCGTGTAACACTATTGCATTAAAATATAGCCGCACATGTCCCTTTCTTTCTATGTTTTACGTCACCATTCTATTGCACGTGTAGATAATGCCTTACAAAAACCACGCAAGAATGCCCGAAGGCACACCAGATTATTTTAGAATCATCTGTTAGGCTTGAGCACGCAAACAGCAGAGCTCATTCTCGAACAAACGCTGCCATTAGCGACAACACACGTTCACTGCCGCATGTATAAATGCCGACGCGCCTTGCCACACTTCTGTTCATCGACGACCGACTCTCTGTGCGCCAATATCACTGTACAGCATCCACTGCTTGCTGTGATCCGAACTTACATTTTGGGGCCACGAGTTTGGCTCAATAAAGAGTTCCATCATGCATATGTCCACTGCTGCCTTCGTTAACATCGCGACCCCATACAAAAATTTTATACATGCTTCCTGGCTCTGATGTGTTGATGCTGCACGCCAAGAAAACAATAAATATGCCTTTCATAATGCCTTAGTGTCATAACACTACTCTTTTGAGCCACTGTTATACTTAAACAAGCCTATCACAGCTAGTGCAACTTTGAGTGTTCATTCTTCGCTCCATACTACCATTCAATCCTGAGCAAGCGCCTTCCTTCCCCTTTTTGGGAGATTCGCAATATGTAATAATAACAAAGCAAGCCCCCCCCCCCCCCCCTCTCTATTTTTTTTTTTTCAAGCTGTTCTCCTCTACAGAATCTTGCAGCTGACATTCTCAGGAACCCAAGTACTGAGCATCTTTAGATATATGCCGCATTTCCTAGTACTTCTACAATGTGGTAGATCGGGGTGACATTGCAAGTTGTCACTAAGCGCAGGTACACTTAAAGGACATCTTTCCCCTTTATTAAAACAGAAAATATTTCCCACGAAATTCCTTCCGGTTCAGTACAAACACTAGGTGCATGTGAATGTAATAGAGCATTTCATTAAAAAGTACATCTGCTGCCGCCTTGAAATTTGATTTGCGACTGATCAAGTCACTCTTGCGTTACAATCTAGCAAATATGGTACAAGGGTTTACATGGTTCTGTAACCCCTTACTGGGGACGTTACCTGCATGCTAAGACACGAATGTAGTGGGAACAAGAATAGCAGCATAGTACTATTCATAACTGCAACTATTCATAACTCTGCTTTTTTTTATATAACACCATATTAATGCAAAAGCTACTAAGATTAGTCTAGGCTATGACAGTTTCTAGAAAAGTCATTGAACCACACAAAACGCGGTTATCTATATAAAGACAGATGTTGGACACGACATAGTAGGAAATCACAAGTAAAAAGTAATAGAAAATAAATATACAAGCACAGATTCCCGAGGTAGCTGATATGAATTGGTATACTGCCCCTGAGGTAACTCAAAGGAACATCAAAAAAAAAAAAAAGAAAGTTGAGGGGACACTAAAGTCTGAATTGGTTTATATTGAATCGTTTTATATGAATCGGTTTATATTGATAAATTTTACTCTGATGCCGTTAATCTCACCATCATAGATTTATTATTATAAGAAAAAAATCATGGTCAATGTTCCACGTTTAAATTTCGTGCCGTAATCACCACACCTGACATCACAGATTTTGAAGCATGTTCTTCGCATTCTTCGAGGTAAAAAATGAATTGTTACCAACTTGCCCAATTTTCAATACTACTCGTGTTCTTTGCATTTCAACAATAATGGCTCAAAGAAATTTCCTGAAACTTGGCAAGCTAAGTTTGTGGTGTACTCGGAGGTCTACGTACTTCATTTTTATTGATTAGGAACTACATGAGACCCAGGAGATGCAAAATCTATGGCATCACTACATTTGTTGCTCAAACTTCAAGGTGGTGCCCCCACCTGTATTTTCTACTTAGGCATTTTCTCGCGGCAAATGGGGTGACTTTTGAATTGAGAAAGAGTATTTTCATGAAATGAAAAAAAAAAAAGTCATTTTTCTCTTTGATGTATTTTAAAGATGTATTCACGAATTATGACTCCACCGTCGCAAGACAGCCTTTTTTAAACTAACTGGAAGCGTTAACCCTCAGTGGAAGTGCATGTGTAATCATTTGAAGGATCAACCACATTGCGCACCTCATGCAATGAGAATCCTGATACTGCACAGTCACCATGACACGCATTTAAATAATGTTTACATCGCTGAGTAAGGCAAAAAAAAATCATTCCTGAAAAATGAACTGCTCTACCTGGCAAACTTTTTGTCTACGACTTCACTGCAACCGAACAGTGCAACTGCAATAAAAAGCTCTGAGGTTTGGAGCACGTACTCCTTTGACAATAACGACTGCTTTGACTTAGTTTTTGTCACCAGCTGAAGGATGAATAAGTACAGCCTATCCAGGTACCAAAGTTTGGCATGAACAAGTTCAGTGTACTCTACCACACATTCCTTAAGTGCATGCACCTGTTGAATGACATTTCTTTAGCTATCAGTGATCAGGAAGTCAGGCCAGGTCAGAGGCTTTACATTTAGAGGAAAAAGGAGCATGGAGTTTGCCTCACATATGTTAAAAAATATATATGATACAGTTTGTGTGCATGTATTTTAAAGATGGGCATTGACAGTGCCATATTGGACTGTGAACATTGCTGTATTGTTTCTCGAACATCTAAACCAACAGTGCAATGGTCGACATACATCTGTAAAAAAGGTTGGATAGGTGTATTCAGTGTTTCCCGACCTTAATGATACAAGGCACTATCCACAACAATAAGAAAACATCCACATAACAGCCTAAAGATGGCAGTTTCTAATGTATCTTGCAAAAAATCGTCCAGAGTAGGGGTCCACTTGGCCTGAAACATCTGTCAGCAACAAACAGGACCAGTAGCGGACTACTTTGACACACTACGCTAATTATATAATTCACTCAGTCAGGTTCTCGCAGACCGCATGCCACGTATGACAATAATCCGACCCCCCTCCTCCTTTTTCTACGCTCATTCCGCACGGCGCGAGGCCTTGAAATGTGAGCGCTCGCATCCAAGGTCGCGATGATCGCACGTGCTTTCGAACAAGCGCCAAGGGAATTCCGCCTCTGCCGTGCACGGGCGCTGTTTGTATACTTCGTTGCCTCTCTCTCCTTGCGCTCTCTGTAGCAAAATCTTTTTCCGTTTCATTTGGCAAAGACTGCAGCGCAGACTATCGACAGCGCGCGTCACCCATTTCGCACCGCCGCTACCCCGGACTTCGACAATCCTCGGATCACGAGGAAAGCCAGCGCGTTCTCCTTCGCTGCGTCGAAGTTTTCTTCCCCTTCCAGCCCTCTCCGACCTTTCGGAGCGCGCGTCGAGCAGTAGTGCGGGGTCCACACAAGCGCTGGCATTCGCTAACAGAGCGCACGCGCATGTGTTTCTGTCGCGCGCGAACACACACACACACGCGCACGTGCGGTGCGGCAAAAATGCTCCCGCAGATTTGCACAGCAGAAGCAGAGAACTTAAAACCTTCTCCCACAGCCGCAGCGCAGCGGAGAATCAGTTTATAATTTTTTTTTATAACTAGCCCGCGCGCGGCAGCGGCGGAGGAGGGAAAAAAAGGGGGAGCGTTACAGAAAGCCTCAAAAAACAACCACGCGGCGGGGAAAAAAATTAGAGAGCGAGAGAGAAAAAAATGCGAGCGCTGCTGCTGCGATGATCAATACACGTTACCTTTCCGGGGTCGTCCTTTGACCGGGGTACCTTGTGAAAGCACTTGTTCAGCGACAGATTGTGGCGGATAGAGTTCTGCAGGCAGAGAGAGACACGAGAAAAGAAGCATTAATAAAAGACCGAGTTCGCGCCAGCGGCTCAAGGCAAAGCGCCGCAGCGGCGGCGGAAGCTCAACGTCAAGGACCCTCGACGACGTCGTCAGCAAAGAACGACGAGCGCGCCGCCGCCAACATGCGCTGCGCGCGCGGACATCGACACGGGAGAGCTCCAACGTTTGTAAACACAAAGGTCAGACAACTATCACTGGAGAGATGGTTGCGCGGATTGCACGACAACCAAGTCGCCGCTGCACCTCGAGTCGCGACCCGGCGAACCGCCGTCCTCGACTCGAGGTCGACACCGCACGAGCGCGTTTCGAAGCGCGGAAAAAACACAGACAACAAAAAGCAGCAAGCGATCGCAAAGCGCTTCATGCCGTGTGCCAAGGTCGGCGCCTGGAAACGACGCGCCCGTACCTCGATCGGTTTTTTTTCGACCGCGGGTAATACTAGGCGTGCGCTTTTTTCCTTCTCACGAAGAGGCGATCGTGAGACTCGAAACCAAAAAAGTTCGACGGGCACCTACCTTCCATCCCGTGCCTGCCTCGCGGTAGAAGGGAAAGTTTGCGCAGATCCAAGTGTATATGTCGCTCAGCGTCATCTTCTTAGTGGGCGAACTGTTGATGGCGAAGGAGATGAGCGTCGAGTAACTGTAGGGCGGCTTTCGCTTGACGCCACCGGAGACGTCGTCCGGCTGGGCGCCCCGCGAGATGTGCGTCGCAGTGGCCGCAGCCGTCCCACCGCCGCCAGCCTGCAGCGGGTGATGCGGCGGCGGCTGAAGCGGTCGTCGTGGGTTGTTTTCCCGTTGAGTCGCGCGAGGTGACCATTCCATTAGCGCCCGCTCTTCTGGGGCTGTCGCCCGGCGCTCTTAACTTGGACGGAATCGGGGCGCCGACGCACTGCTAACTAGACGCCACTACTGGCTCTAAGGGGCATCGCTACGAGTTTCGAACTTAACACACTGCCATCTTGACGCGGGTTTCGGATCGGCGGTAGGCCTGGCCCTGCAGAATGTCAAACTGCACGCTTTCGCAACGTGTAAGGTGGCGCTGGCGTACAGCTAGAATTTTGGAGCCAATTTGCGACGTTTTACGTAGTTGCGACACGTTTGCGGCTCTGGGCTCGATAGAGCGAACTGTCGCCGGGCTACGCGGCGCGTTTTACAAATGTTGATTTATAGAAGTGATATGAAATCGGCTTAAATTCTGAGCAGTTGGCATAAGTACTGCGACTTTACAATCCGTTGGGTCAATTTTTATAGCCGATAGTCTTTCTTGGGAACCTTCGACGCAAAGAATTTCGTCTGTCTGTTTATCTGCCCTGGACGGTATCCTAAACGGCACCTAATTGGTCAAACAATACTCTGAATGGCCAACCCCATCCGCAGCGCCCACGAAGATTGCTCAAGACGCAGCGTTCATACTTGTGTGATTGTCGATTGAAAAGCAATTATTGCGCATATCTGAGGCACATAACAACACGTCAATGTTCTGTATGTGTGTCTCTTACTAGAAAACGCATACATAAGTAATTATAAGGACCGTAGCGTTTATCAGGTAGCGCTAACCAGGCAAACACTTGCACGAAAAAAAAAAAAAGTGGTTCCAACGCTGTCTTAAAACAGCAACGCTTTCTCAAGGTGGTGGCATCTACCCGTCGCCTTGTGTTCTACACCTTATCACCTCCGAGACGAGCGCGTGCGCTTCGTTTTTCAAGATATCTGCCAGATGGCGCTAATGTCTCCTGCGTGACTTTCGAACTTTTAAGCAGGAAATTGCCAAAGAAAGGATCTATGATAATAATCGGGGTAGTTCTCTACTGTTTGAGGCCAGGACGGGAGTATTACGAACCAAGACATATCGGCCAAATACGAAGGGGTAGACACAGTAAGCAGTGCGTGTGGAGAGGAAGAAGAAACTGCCTAACACTTGATAATGTTCTGTAAAGGGCTTCACCCTACAGTTCAGGATGATGGCGCAAAGTTTTTCAAAGCACTGGTGTTTAGGGACAGGGAGGGCAAAATAGACTTTAAGCGGGTAGACTTAACTAGAAGGAGGTTATCTGATTGGTGGCTACAGTCAAGGCACGAGTGAAAATTAAACCCTTCACTTCAAAGTACCCGTCCAACTAAAGTGAAAAAAAAAGATAAATCTAGTGGTTAGTTCACTAAGTATTGCGGCTAGGTGGCGTTAGCCGCCGCCTGATCTCAAGGGTACAGCCACATACATACATCCACCCATCCATGACGTGACTCCTGGGGTTATCTTCAAGAGGACACCAAAGGACTAAAATCGTACGACCTCATGGCTCTCGAGGGTATCACTTTCCTCACCGAACCAGCCTATCCGACTCGCACGGGGGACAGTGTTTCGAGGGATACATGCCCCGATCTAACTATGGGTATCAACCTTCCTCAGCCACGCTGGTGGAACTCACAAGAGAACCTCGGGAGCGACCATTTTATCATTCGCACGTCCTTATCGCATGGCAGACACAAGAAACATCAAAAGACAGTCAAGCTAATAGATTGGGCACCTTTCCGCAAAACAGAACTTTCCCTTTCATCAAACTCCCACATCTTACTCGGAATGGGCTGGCACTTTACTGGAACTTAAGAACGAGGTTACCAAGCTGTTGCACCTACACTTGAAGCTCCAGCGGTCGATAGCCATCTCTTGCATTTATGGGATGCCAGGTGCCCACTCACAAGACGCTGGAAACGGCAAAGGCTTAATCGCCGACTCAAGACACGTATTGCCGCCCTCACTGCTAAGGCAGAGAAATACACAATAGCACTCGCTAAAGGAGATTGGTTTTCGAAATGCGACTCCCTTACAGGGTCTCTCCATACGAAATCTGCCTGGCACCTTCTGCGTCACCTCATTGACCCAGACCCTACCAGAGGCGCGAATAGAAAAAGCCTTCAGAGGGTTATACACGGCTTCTCTGGCAACAATGCGGACTTACTGGGTGCCCTGTACAGTCGAAGTATGTCAACACTGCGTGGTACCACGTATCCATACCTTTTTATGACAGCCCCGATAATCCAGAACTTTCAAAAGCGTTTACAGTCGTCCAAATTAAAGCGGCAATACAAAGCATGAGGAAAGATACCACCCCGAGACCCAATCAGGTATTAATATAGGGCTGCTCTCTAACCTAAGCGATGATATCACTCAGTTGCTAGTAGATAAAATGAACCAGTACTGGGACGCCGGAACGCTTCCCCTAGAGTGGAAATCGGATGAGCGCACTTTCATCCCGAAATCCGGCAAAGCGCTCAATATTGATAACCTCCGTCCCATATACCTCACGTCATGCGCTGGTAAGGTGGTGGAGAAGGCCATACAAATAAGGCTAAACGAATATCTAGAAGAACAGAAACTCTTGCCTGACACTATGTACGGCTTTCGTCCCCATTTGTCAGCGCAGGACATCCTCTTCCAACTAAAACACGAGATTGTCAACCTACTCAGAGGTCGGAAAGGAGCATTCTTGCAATTGATTTCAAGGGTGCCTTTGACGATGTTCGGCACTTCACTATCTTGGAGAACTTACGGGAACTGAGGTGCGGTCCAAAATTATATACTGCAATGATGAATGTAGTGGGTCATGCAAATCTCGGCAAACACATTGTCAGTGCTAAGCACGAGACGCTCGGCCCGGACTGTCGCTGATTTCGATAGCTAGGCTTACGCTCCTACCTGATCTCGGAAAAGAGTTTTGACTGTCTCCGTTCTTTATTATAATACATATGTGTGGGACTTCCTTACAGACAGACTAGTCACCATCCCCTAAGGGGACCTTAAATCTCAACCCATCACCATGGGTGATTTCGGTACTCCTCAAGGGACTGTCCTTTCTCCACTCCTCTTCAATATCGCCCCTCATGCGCCTCCCGGAGGCCCTAAATGAAATTTCGCAAGTACGCCACGCCATATATGCTGATGACGTCACAATCTGGAGCCGTTATGGTAACTTGGGTCAGATAGAAGAATCCTTCCAACAGGCCGCCTCCATCGCAGAAAAGATAGGACGCAAGAGTGGTCTGGAGTGCTTCCACATCAAATCAGAAATCGTAGTATATAGAAATAAGGCATCTGACAATACATACCTCAACGTACAACGCAATATGGAACGCAAATTAAAGAGGTTGAAGCCACTCGAATTTTGGGGGCCCACTTCCATAATCGGGGCAACAACTCATTTGCTTTACATAAACTAAAAACGCCCTGCCTACAAATCTCTCGCATGATCGATTAGTGGGGTGGCTAACCGCCGACGAGGGATGAAAGAACACGACATAATGCGACTCATTCAGGCATTTGTTATCAGCCGCATAACCTATAGCTTTCCTCACCTGGGGGTCTTGAAAGCAGACGAGCACAAAATAGACAGAGTCATACGTGTGACTCTCAGGAAGGCTCTGAACCTTCCCCCGTGGACCCTCACGGAACGTCTGCTTCAAATGGAGCTCCACAATACCGTATCAGAACTATTCCATGCACACCACACGAATCAAGTCATGCGCCTCGCCATCACTAAAACGGGACGGAAAACACTATCAGAACTTGGCATCGAAGCCTCTATTGAGAAAAGGGGAAAAGAACGTATCCCACATGAATGGAGGCAGGACTTCATCATCAAACCACTTCCACGCAACATGCATCCTCAGTTCCACGAACATCGACGTCGGGCACGGGCAAAAGCTTACGACAACTACTCAGATACCGAGGGCGCCTTCTTTGTCGATGCAGCTGGACCAGTGAACGGCAAATATATAGCAAGCGTCGCTCGGTACCCAGCCCGTCGCAATGTACCAACGCGCGCTTATCTCCCACGCGTACGTTGCCCCACGGATGGAGGTGGGGTGGTTAGGTGCTTGTGCGTCAATCATGCGCCTTGGCCTTTCACCGGAACGACTGCGTTAGTTGCCCCAGCCACAAAGGTCACTTAACTCCCTGGACAGGCCCCGTTTGCGAAAAGAGCGCCTTTTTCAAACACAGCGAAGTAAAAACCGGGACACTTGTTAGTTGGCACTCATGGTGATTACGTTTCGTGCGTTGTTTTTGTTTAAGCAGCATGTTAGGCGTCGAGTTGTAAACGTTGTTAGTTAGTTCTCATCATGTGTGTGTTGTTTTCGTGCGTCACTTGTGCGTGAGCAGCGTGCTGCACGTTTTGATCAGCTAACCGTTCTCAGCATTTCATTCCAAGTTGTTGCTATCGTATTTATTGCTTCGCCCTTGTGGCAAAACTGTGACTTGTAGACTCTATTGTAGTGTAGACTCTATTGTATTTGTGTAGAATAAATACTTCCCAAAAACTCGTTTTTGTGCACTCTAAAACCCTTGGCGACGCTGAACTAACGGAACCGTGGTGATAGCGCGATGAAACTACTCGAAGTAGATGGTTATGGGCGTGTAGGAAAAACACTCCCCAAATAGTCTTTTTTTTTAGAGTGTGGAGCGAAGTACTGTACAAATATTCCCAAACTATCACCTGCTTGCATTTCGTTCCTTAAAAACTCGGCTCTTGCCATTGAACAGGAATACTACTTGACGCTGATAACGTGCATGCTGTTTGGGACTAGTAAGTATCGGGCGCACTGCGATATTGCAAGGAAAGACATCGGAGATGATGAATATATACGGTTGGGTGGGACAAAAAGATATTTTTATTTTCACGCTCTTTTCTCCATAAAGCAAAAAAAGAAAAGAAGTCGTATTTGGGGCGTCTCAGTGTACGCAAAGCTTGGAGTTAGCCTTTTGTCACCATTGCGCATGCGTCATACGATATATGTACGCGCGTAACACAAATAGTATGCGTACGCAAAGAAAGTGATCTTTGCATACTATATTCTACTTCATCTCGCGTTCTTTTCTTTCGTTATAGCCGTTATCGAACACTATTCTTTTGCAGAATTAAGTTGATACATCCGGCCTATCAGTTTAGCAAGAATTGGTTTCCGTGGGGAAGCCGCTAGGTTATTCTATCTTTTAACACTTTCACCCGTGCCATTGCATCCTGACCAGACGAGATTCTGTTCAATTATAGATTTCAATTTCCCGCAGTATGAAACTCTATGGTACTCCTTCAACCACCCTTCCAAGCTAGAATCTGTCGTAATTCAAGCGTGAAGTTCACGCAAGGGTCTTGGGTCATCGTTTGAAAGCTCTCATCTCTTCTTCGTACGGTCATGAACCGCATGCATGCCGACAGCAGCAGTCGACGACTGATACCGAGCTGCATGCTTGTGATAGGTGCGCTTTATGGCAGCGTGCACGGGAGTGCAATTTCTCATAATCTTTCATGGCATTATTTAGAGTTTATTGCACAATAAAGGCACGACCATCGGACGACCGCTGCCCACATATTGTAGAACTTGTAACGTTATATACGTTATATACGCACGTTTATATATTTATACCGATCACGGTGCGTGAGTCCGCACCGTGATCGGTATAAATATATAAACGTGCGCAGTGTTCTTCACCGTTAGAGGGGATGGGGTCAAGTTTTTGTGGTGAAGAGGGGAGGGGGTGCACTGAGTTTAGCCCATGCTTAGTCCATCCATGCTCCTTCTAACCACCATATCCATGCCACCACGGCCTCCCTCGTGCGCATTCGTAGCATTTCCGTAACAGTGCAAACTTGAACTTAATGTTACTCATTCGTGCTAAAAAAAGAGCGTTAAACAACAAAACAGACGAGAAAAAACGTAAATTTGTTCGAAAGAGGAAAGACTGTGATCGATTCTCGGAGTTGGGAGGCGGAAATTGTTAGGGGGTTGCTGCACCCCTGTGCTGCATGATCACGCACCTTCTTCAAATAAAATTATATCGAGTCTTTTTCTGATAAGGAGAGATGAAACTGCGGCCTGATCATTCATATCTTGAGAAAATGGCCACTCCCGCCACAACAACAAAACCACGACTTAAATTTGCACTGTTTTTCGCAACTTTCGGTTTCGTTTTTAAACAAACAAAAAGAACTAACATTAGTTCATTTCAATCATACTTGTGTAAATATACAACTGATAAAACAATTCGGAGTGTATTAAAAAATATAACATGCTTTTACGATACAATCAATGCTACTTAAGTAGGAAACAGCACCACGGCACCGCTTTGTGCCGACTGGCGCGTCACGGCACGGGGAACAGAAAAGCGCGCGCAAGTAACGGAAATAGGCGCGTCCGGGCGCGTTTTGTATTCGAACTGTATGTTAAGCATTGACCAGAGTGTACAGGTATTCTGTGCATTGACGAAGCGCGTTGGAATGGTGCAGCCGGGATAGCCGAGTGTTCTGCCGGCGTTGACAAGGGTCTGGGTCAAGTATAACGGTAGCTTGCACGGAACCGACGGAACTGCGACACACTGCCGGCCGAATGGCGCCGCGACGTAAGCGGCTGTCGTCGTCTTCGCCGGATAGCCGCAAAGGTAGCAGCAGCAGCGACGAATCGTTGACCGAATCGGACGTTACATGCCCCGTGTGTCTGAGCATGGTGATCGAACCCGTGACGATGCCGTGCGCGCACGAGGTGTGCAAATCCTGCTTCACGAGCACCGTGCTCATGGCCAACAAGGAGTGCCCCATGTGTCGCATGCGCATCGCGTCGTGGGCGCGCAAAGCAGCCCGCGAGGGAACCCTGGTCAACCGGGCACGCTGGCAGATCATCAAGACCCGCTTTCCGAAGCAGGTCGCAAGGAGACTGAGCGGAGAAGACAGTCGAGCAGGTTAGCGCACAATTTCTCCCACCGTCCGCACGACACCAGCTGCTAGGCTCGGCTGTACTGAGGAAATGGTCGCGGGCGGCATCCCGTGTGTCGTATGGCACTGCCTATGGTGATCGAATGCCTCGGCCGAGGTCCCCACATCTTGCACAACCGAAAAACTCGATCACATTTGGGCTCGATCACGATCGTGCCCAACCGATGTGTACGTTGTAGCGGTTGGAACTCAGCAAGTTGTGCTGAAGCCGCGCTGTGTTTCCAAAAGCAAACGCAATATAAGCAGTTGTTGTTGGAATAGCCGTTTCATCCTTTAAAATGTGAAATGCTCCATTCAAAAAGCGCAGTTAGGAGCAGTAATATAACAGCCACGCTTGTTCGCTCCTGGGCAAGTTGTAACGTGTGTATCCGAATTGGCGCTGAGCCAGAGACAACGATCATTACACGTTTGATACGTGCCGTGCTTGTGGAGAGAAATTTGAAGCCACTAGCAGACAGGAAGCGCCGAATACTGCTGTGCAAAACGTTTTGAGTATAGTGGAAAGAAAAAAAAAAAACATGGATTGTAGACAGGCTCGTGAGGGAAGGTATTAGCAAACAGACTCTTGATCGGTAGTGTTCGAATAGTTTGGGGCCCCAAAGAAACAGCCTCAAGACCAGTGCGCATGCACAAAACTCAGACCGCATTTGGGTTTTGGGTTGGGGACGCAATTTCTCGAATTTAGCTGGAGCCCCATAGCTTAGGTCAAAAGTTTTAGGTCACATAAACGTGACGGTACCTACTGAAGTGACGGCTCTCGGCCAAGACTAGAGTGACATAGAATAGGGGGAGTGTCCAAAGCACTGCAGACCCTATTTGAAAACTCATCGCTCCTGCTTTACTCAAAGAGTCCATATGCAAAGGGCTTTGGGGCCTCCATTCGAAAACTCACCAATACAGTGATGGAAGTGCTGCTCCAAAGTGCAAGATTTGCTAGTAACTGCTCCAAACCTGCTCTGAAAGGGTATTGGCAAAATAAAAAAAAATGAAGTTGAACCATGGGACCATCCTGGGAGCATAAGTGAAACCGAAAGCAAGCTGTATACACACTGTCAGCCTAGTGTGCTACTCAGTGGTGTAAACCCAGAAAAATCTCAAGAGGTGACACATATCAGGCCATGGTGTCCAATTCATATCTTTAACATAGGCTGTATTTATATTTATATGAGAATTAAATAATGCTTCCAAAGAAATTAAAAGAAAAACGAGCATGGGGTCCGAGCTCAAGCAATCGCATTGTTCTATGCAGTCTCTTTTTTTCACCTTTTTTCAATTTCCATAGTTCACACAGCTGAGGGGCATTCAACACAGGTATGCAGTAAAAAATGAACAGTCTCTTAAAAAGTTGATTGCACTATACTCATCTGTTAACTCAATTATATTATGTGCTAAAGCTAAATCTGAAGTGGGACACTTGCAAGGACTGTCCTCTCCAGCCTGAACACCAGAAAAGTCCGAACTCTCTTCACCTCCCTTTTCCCCGCCCATGATTTACGCCAACTATACTGCTTGTATACTAGCTGCATACTGGCATACAGCATGTTTAATAATAAATATAATTTATTAAAGGCTTAAGTGATGTTTTAGACTTAAGGAGTAGTAAGGAGCATGCATCTGCTCCGATAACACCAATAGCAACCCTAAGCTATAGCATATTTTTCTGCTCCAAAGACACTTGAGCCTGCTTTAAAGCACCATTTTTTCTGCTCCAGAATCTGCTCCAAAAGGCAAAATGTCGCTTTCATCACTGCTAGTAGCTTAAATGTAGTACATTTAATTACACCCAGGCGTTTCACTATCTGCTGCGCGAGATGTGAATCAAGGTGAAGAGCCTGCGATATTAAAGCTCACGAGAAATCAGGCTAGTCTTTGAGATAAGTTGTTAGTAATTATCATTAGAGCTGAAGCTGATTTGGGATTCGGCATAAGGTTGCTCGCAAGCTTATCGTAAAGATATCATAAAGATAGTGTAGAGTTGTATATGTGGTCCTGTCACAAATAAAACATGTCAGTTTTTGAAGGGAAGAAAACCGACTGGCAAGAATGGAGTAAGATGACGAGGAAATAGGCGATACATTGTGGTGCTTCCTGGTTTTTGTTCCTTTGTGTCCCCATTTCTTGCTACTGTCCTTGTCTGTTAATCTCATACCTGCTTTTTGTTTAATACAAAACAAATTCTGGAAGTAGAATTGCTTGACCAACATACACATCAGCTTGTCGTATATGTTACTTGGTACACACTCTACACTTTAGTATAGGGTTTAAAAATTTTTTTATCTGAACCACATGGTCATGATTCTCTCCTTGCAAGAATGAGCATGTTGTTTTTGTTTTCGTGTCGTACCCTTTGCTGGCAGGTAAAGTTTCCGCAAGGACTAGCATGACTAAAATCAATTTTAATGTGTTTACATTCAATACAGTAAGGCAATGGATAGTAAATCATGTTGCTTTTAGAAGGCTGTACATTAAAAAGTCTTATTGATGGTTTATGTGATGTCACAGATATCCATTAGACATTTTAGACAATGTACTGGTGCTTTAACGTGGTGGCTCTGTCAGTGAAGTTTATCATTGCTGTGGATAACTTCCTGCTTTGTTATTGTCAAGGTAGAAGAGTTTGTGTCAGAAGAGTCACTTGACTTTATTCCCACAGTGTTGCTACTACAACTTGCTGCCTTCAGTATGGTCATTGCAAGCAATGTATTCTAAGGTCTCATCAGTGCATTTGTCACCATTGTATACTTTATTTTACTTAGCTGTGCTTTTATCTTTTGCATAAATTTTGACAAGGCTTGTACGGCATTGCTACTTTAGTTGTGCATTTTCACACGCTACAGCCCTGCTTGCTCTATTATCAAGGTAATATTGTTTGCTACTTGCAGACGAAATGAAAGCAAGTCGCCTAACAGCAATCTACAAATATCAATGTGCAAGAAATGCCAGAGTTCATCTGTTCACACAATCAGATTAATAAGTACATGTAACATTTATTCTAAACAATGTTGTTTATTAGAGTATGTAGAAAATAATTAAGGTGTCCTTTACTTAATTATTTTGAAGGTGTACTTCAAAAGCTTGCAGTGTTGATGTAGGAAATGTTATTGTATTAAACCATTATGTGTAAAGAAAAGAGAAGTGTTAGATTGATTTATTTACATTCAATACTGTGAGCCTTTCTGAGCTGTTACAGGTGGGCGAGTTGACAGCACTGAAGGCAAATATACAAACGACGTAGTAGAAGCAGCGCAATGTAAACTGGAAGGAAATATGTACAAACGCTAGTGGGGAAACAGTGTAGTGTTACTGTACATCATTTTTTGCATTGGCTCGCCCAGACTGTCCTTGGAGAAGGAAATTGACATGTCGCGATGAGACTGGCACAACGTAGACGCGTTCCAGGTTTTCGCTTTATGTTACTAATATACCACAGAATGGATGCACTATGATTATCTGTCAAGACGAGCATATCTTGAAATCATCAGAGCAAATCCACAGTAGCCACGTTTGCAGATCTGTATTTATAGTTTCAACTAAGGCATAGATAAGAGCAATTAGTTGCTATTGAAAAGAAGAAAGGAAAAAAAAACATATGGAAAGCTAATATCCTGGCACACATTTGAGGTATATCACTTACTAGGCCATAAAGGTCATGCTTTTTATTTCCTCTGCTAGCATGTTCATGCGAAATGTGTGTACGTACGAAGTGTGTCATCTATGGGAGGTATAGGGTTGGAGAGATGAACGAGTGAAACAATGCAGGAACCCCTCAGCGGATTGTGCTGAGACCGCTGTGCATGCCGGGTGAGATCAGGCGTGAGTACGAGGAACAGCGTCAGCGTGCAGAGGCCGAGTGGCGCCGAGAGCGCGAGCTCGAAGCTCAGGAGGGTGAAGCCCTGGCCCAGCACTTGGCTTCGGAGGAAGAACGGGCCCTGGAGAAACAGCGGCGGCAGATGCGACGGGACCAGCGGCTTGCCTGCCTCTGGGGCGTGTTTGGGGACACGCCGTCCGTGCTCGCTGCCTTCCCGCTTGTTCGTTCTTTGCTCGTGCCGGAGGACGACGACAATGACAGTGCATCTTCTTTCATACCTCCGGAGGACAGGCCTCAAGGTACGCTTGGTGCGACTCTGAGCTCTTTCAATGGCTGGTTTTCCGAGCAAGGGGAACAATACGAACACCCAATAAGGATATTTTGAGGGCTCGTTGACACAGTTTTATTGAAAACCAACTGGTAATAAAGCCAAGGAAGCTTTTGGGATGGTATTCGTGCAGCTTTAATTCTGTTTTGGTAACTGTCATATAGATGTGAAGGAAGTAACGTGGACGAAAAGACAACTTACGGCAAGCAGGGACCGAATCTGCAACCTTCAGATAATCCACTCGATGCTTTGACAACTAGGCTATGGCGGCAATCATCCTCTCGTCGACTTTATTCATTACATTAAAACCTCGTTAAATTAAAGTTTCTGTAATTTCAAAACTTAATTGATTTAAGTGTGTTTTCAAATGATCAAAAAATACAAAAAGTGGAATGCAAAAAACTTTGAGTTTAAAATATAATTTGAAGAGGTCGCTTGCTATGCCGGCTAGTTTGCAACACCAAGGGTTATCTTTCCCCCAATACCTGGGCCCAATTTCGCCTTAAACATGGGGCAACAGTGGGTACCGCTGCTGCTAGCAAAAAAAAAAAAAAGTCATGTTCAGCTAAAATTAGCTTCTGCAGAAAAAAAAAAAAGAAAATATGCTTCAGTGCAACGCAGTAGTGATATGCAGGCAGTACCACTTGCTTTTTGCCGTATTGGTGTGTCATGATGCAAACATTTGCCCGTTCGTATTGTTAAAGTAAAGAATCTAATAAAAGAAAATGTGATGAAATTTGCAGTGTGTTTTGGCTGGAAAACGTCATTGAAGTTTTCAATCTGAGTTTTCGAAGCAGGCATTGCAGGCAGGAACTCCACCAGCAGTTCAAGTGCATGTATTGCTGGGGCAACAGCCACTCAGAAGTTTGCATACATCACGAATTGCATCAGGCTGATCTTTATCAATTTATTTATATTCCCAGAAAAAATGGATAAATTATGATGCGCTAATATTGTGAGGAGCGTGCAATGTGCTGCCCACGTGTCACCGATGTGAAGTAGTAAAAAGTGAAGCACGTCTTTTCCACAGCCGCACATTAAAGCGGCTCTCCAGCACAATTTAACTATCCATTTTTTATTCGTGGTTTGTGTAAACTGACATACAGACTGATGCAGGAAGAATGGCAGTGATAACGGCATGCAGTCTTAAGGTATTCGATTTAGGAAGTTCAACATGCAAAAAAAAGAAAGCCTACCTTCAACTTGATTTTCGCACAGTCACTTTAAATCTCACTCTTCCAATGACATTGTATGGCTTCCCCAATGAAGTGAGCTGGGAGGGCCCATGTGGAGTAAGCTCGCACACCATTGTTGCTTGTTCTTTCCAACATAAGGTTAACCTCGTTGCCCCAGTAACAAACGTGGTGCGTGACGCTTGAGTTCCCAGAATGCGAGCGGGCGCTACTGTTTCAAAGCGAGGTATTTTCTGCTGTTCTTAACAACATTCCGAGTCGCTCCTTCATCTTATTCTGAGAAAGGAACTTTTGGAAGGACCAGGGCAGTGAAGTACTGTTGACCCTTCGGGCGTTGATCGGTGAGCCACCCAACGAACAGCAATCGTGCACTGCACCCCTTTGATAGTGCACGTGCGGAAAAAGGCAGCTCGTGAACTCCCAGAAGCAAGAGGGAAGAAAAAAGGAGAGGTCTTTCATATTCACATCCGACTTGCGCAAGACAATAATCTAGTGGCAAAATGGTGGCCAGGGTCTCTGTCGTGCTTTGTAGTCGCGGTAATATTTTTGTTGCGGCCGCATCTGCTCGTAGTTTGATGAAATAAAGCACAGAGAAAATAATGAAACAGATTAGTAACCTCAGTTTTAATCCTAGTGTACATTGCCAGTTTTTATGAAAGGGAACACGTGAACCCGTGGCCTGCACGCTCCAGCGGCTGCCTGCAGCGCGTTGTAGCGCCAGCCAGAGAAACTGCAGCCTCTTCTCGCGTCATCTAGTGCGAACAAGACAACTAGTCATTGCTGATATGGAACCGTTGGCAAAACTGCAACCCCCTCCCTTTACAAGGTGATTACGCAAGAGGCTGGCTTCTTGCGAAGTCGCCTTGAAGGGGGAGGGGGTCGCAATCTTACCACCGGTTCTGTATCGCCACGCAGCCGGATTAAAGGAGCGACGCGTGCACTTGTGGCTGCTTTTGTTTGGTCATGACTACTGATGACTGGTTCTCTTGCTTGACGCTAGATGACGCGAAAAAAGGCTGTGGTTGCGCCCTCTAGAACGCGCTACAGGCTGCTGTCGAAGCGTGCAGGCCACATGCTCGCATGTTCCCTTTCATAAAAATTGACACCGTTCATTTATCCAATCATATTTCCACGCGCATTTATTACACTTAGATTTCATTTGTTTTTTGCCCACACAGCCTGTCTGAAATGCTCGCCCCGCCGCGGTGGTCTAGTGGCTAAGGTACTCGGCTACTGACCCGCAGGTCGCGGGTTCAAATCCCGGCTGCGGCGGCTGCATTTCCGATGGAGGCGGAAATGTTGTAGGCCCGTGTGCTCAGATTCGGGCACACGTTAAAGAACCCCAGGTGGTCGAAATTTCCGGAGCCCTCCACTACGGCGTCTCTCATAATCATATGGTGGTTTTGGGACGTTAAACCCCACATATCAATCAATCTGAAATGCTCAGCTCAAACTGTGCCTCATTGTTCTAGAACGCTCACAATTATTGTAGATCATTCTGTTAAGATTGCGCGCAGGACGTGAATACGCCAGATTATTTCAGAGCTTGCGCGAAGACCAGTGATAAGGCGGGAATATTTGACGGCACATGTGTAAATAGTGACGCGCTTGGCCGCTTGCCAGTTGATCGACGGCCGACGCTCTGTTCGCCGCTATCAGTGTCAGTGTGTTACTGTAATTCTTCGTTTACTGGCGGCAAGTTCAGGAAAAAAAAAAAAAAAAAAAACGTTTGATCTGAAAGTCTAGTCTGCTGCCTTCGGCCACGTCACGACCCCGTGACAACATGGCGGCAACCATCCGGTGTCATTTCTGCCTGCAAAGTCCTGGCAAGTGCCTCTACATGCTGATGTGGTCGGCAGCGATGTAGTGACTGTATTGCTATTTAAAATTCTAGAGCATTTGATATCGGAATTTAAACCTAAGCTAAAATTATCCCTAGCTATTGGCCTACACAAACTACAAATAAAAGATAGGTGCTTAAAAAGTGTTTGAGGACTTCTTTGTCAAAAGACCAATTTTTTTTTAATCCCTGGCAGAAGCCTGACTTGGGTGCTTCATCTGTCACTCATCAGTATCGCTACACTGCATTGCCCTGGGTTCCTAGAAGCCACTGTTTTCGCAGATTTGCGGTGAAATCGGGACTGGGAATCGGGACTGGGAAGCACCAGTCATAATTTTTATCACTTCGAGCGGGTCAGCGTTCTGTTCAAGTTCAGAATGAGGATTTATCAGAAGCAAGGCGAGAAGTACACAAGTCCACACAAGGTGCATAAGACAACGCCGAGTACTCACCGTCAACGTGTTGACAATATCGATGTGATTTGTGGCTTTGTAGGTGGCAGCCGCTGCTTTCAGCTGCTTTGACAGGAAAAGCTAGAAAAAGCTTAGCCTCCAAGACACGTGTCTTAAAACCGAAAACACAGGAAATACGTCATGATGTTGCACATTTCAAAGGCCATGCTTTTCTGGCTCGCATGCCATTGTGCACTAACAAGCAATGAAGGGAATGTGAACATTGGAACGAGATCGCCGAGCCATTTTACATTCTAATTTTGGTGTCCTCAGCAATCGGTCTTTTGAAAAAAACTATGCCCGCATGTTAAGACATGCAGGTCGTGCATCAAACATACCAGTGCACTCGCAAGCGCTGTGCAACAAACCAGATTAGCACGATTAAATAACACCGCCTTTTCATCAACTTCATGCGAATAGGGATCGGAACTTGTTAGAAAGTGGCTGAAAATTGATCATTATTTGCTATGAAAAATGCACTTTCTGGGCTTCGGCACAGCGTTTCATATAGCAGATGTCCCGCTGTGCGGGAGTTCGATATAGGGATATACGGTCGCATACTTTTGCATGGGGAATTCTAGGGGATTTCTCAACTGTTCGATATAGCCAATAATTTTATATATCCGTGTTTGATAAACCCGGGATCGACTGTATTCTGGAACCACAGCTGTCTTGCTTTAAATAGTGCTTTCTGAAATATTTTTCTGACTTCTCGGTGATATTCGCTGCAAACTGCAAAAATAGATGTACTTTCACTTTTATTGGTTGTTTTGCTTGTATTGCTACCGTAAGAAAAGAAGAAAAATTGTGCCGAAATTGCCAAAAATTTTCTTCACTCAATTTGCAGAGCTTTTTTATTTTCTCAATGAAACAATACCATGCTTGCAATTCAGTGAAGTTTTTTTATTTCACCAATTGTGCAAATATACCGTAAAATGCCGAGCAAGTGCCCCCCCTCCCCTTGCTACAGCAAAGGATAATCTAACCAGATTTTCTAACCAGTCCCGGATAATCTAACCAGTCCTGGACTGGTCCCTGGCGCTTAATTGGCTCTTATTTCAGATCTCTCGAAAAAAAAGAGGGGGCGCTTGCTCAGCGTTTCACGGTATATAGTGTGAGAGTGGCTTCACTGTGTGGCAATACGAGAAAGGGCAATAAAATGAAAACCCAGACACAAATGGCCCAACATGGACAAGTGTGGTCATCTAGTGTCTAGAAACACTGATGACAAGTATAGTCATCATCGACCATATTGTTATGAAATCTCATGATGACCGCTCTCTTTAATGGTAGTGAAAGGGTTAAAGAAATACAAACACGGAAATTTTTAGGAGCCTTTTTTTTTGGGGGGGGGGGGGGGGGGCGTCATGTGAAAATGCAAGCCCTTAAGAGCCTAAATAATGTACTGTTAAGTGTGAGTGCGTCGTGAGCAAGTAATCACAATGTGTTGTTTCTGAAAGCTAGTTTCAATCACTTCTGTACTCTGGCATCACAACACAGTATAAGCTTCTTTGTGCTAGATATCGTGACGTTTCCACAGCTGCTTGGCCCTGTGGCTCCATTGGTGGCACACAAATGCCGATTTTAGATGTTTTGGTGCCTGACGTCGTCACAACTACTCAGAATGCTGAATAAGGTTACCAGAATCAGTACCGTAGCTTGACGTCAAGATAGTGTCGATATTGATAGGTGAGATGGGAAAATTTACTCTTATATCGAAGTACGGTAAAATCTCTTACTAGCATTTGCTGAGCAGCAAACAAGCTCAGAGCAGTCTCCGTAATCAGGAGATTCTTATGGCAGTGTAAACACACCTACGAAAAAATGGTGTCAGTACGGCTTTAAATGTGAATACTTCTGTACATCCCGTTATGCTGTCCACAGCGACAAAAAAAAAAAAATTCCAGGCGTCGTTAAAATAAGAAATGTTTGATAAATTTGATGTGCTTTTGCAAGGGATTGTCGATTGAAAAGGATTGTCATATATAATGCTATTTCTGCAACAATACTAAATGCTGTACCCCTGCAACAATATGCATGACAAAAAAAATGCTTCAAATTAAATACCCTAAAAATTTAAAGACAAATTATAAGAAACATTGCATGGAAGTCTACTTACGTAAGGCATAACATGAGTGGTATGTCTGCTCCTTTGCTTTATTCCGAAAATATAATGGACTTTGCTTGTGATATGTAATATCCCCAGTTATAAATTGTCTTGTAGCATAGCACGAAAAAAAAAAAAAAATGAGACAAAAGATGAAGTAACGGGCGGGCACTAGCATCGAGTTTCAACAACAAAATTTTGTTTCCAGGATCGGTCATATCTCGTCGTCGGAGTATTGGCTGAGGACATGAGCGGGTCTGTTCGTTCAGTTGAGCAGTAAAAGTATTGCTGCACTTCAATCATCTGGGTGGTGCATTTTTTTTGCCATTCTAAGAGCTGTACTAAACTATAGTTTGCATGCCTGTGCCAACTGTGTTTCATGGACGCTTTCGGTATTTCATTTCTCACCACAGCGACTGTTTTTGATATGGGCAAAATTAAAGTTTGGGGAGGGGCGGAGGGACACAAAGAACACGTGTTCTTGGAGCTAGGTGCTTACTTAAAAACGTCAGGCTGTCAGAATTAGTTCAAACATGTTGCGGAGTCATATCGTGGTTTCGGATTCTAAAACCCGGGTATTCGATCCATTTCTTGTTTTTCAGCTTTTGTAAATCTAACTGAAAGCCTGTTTAATCTGCACTGTTACCGCAGATGCCACAAGGAACACGGCACCGATGACGCCCTTGAGTGGTGGCGTAAGCAGGCTGCACTCGCGCAGTGTGCAGACAACCCTGCTGGAGGTGCGGCAACAGGAGACACAGACAAGTGAGCACAGTCACGACGCCACGGCCTCCTACCAGGAAGACTGGGAACTGGCACGCCGCCTCCAGCGGAAGCTGAACCGACAGAGCAGAGCAGCACCCAAACGCACTTACAACCTGCGCTCTCGTGTTGTCGACTGAAGGAACGAAGAGACTGTACATACATTTACATAGTTAATACATGACACTCTTTCAGTTGTGCTTGCTCGTCATACAGACCATCGTGCATTTGTTTTCTTGATCTGCTTAATCTTTATATTTATCCGATTTTTAGAGTTCAGGCAGTCGTCCCACAGAGATTGCGTTCATCTTGGTCTACAGTGTCGCGTTGTTGAGACAGTGTGAAATGTAGCAGCCAAACTTGTAAAGGTGGGCAAACTTGTGCTCGGCAGAACAAAAAACTCGCACTTACAATCGGCCTCTTCTGCTTTTGCAGTTTTGGCATCCCGCTGGTAGCCAGTTGGCAACCATAGTTGTATACAACTTAAGTCTGCAGAGGTCCTCCTCAGACGACCAAGCGCCATTGCCCATTGCCTCTGCAACTAAAAAAAAAAATATAGTCCAGCTTATGAGTAGGGTAGGTGGAGTCTCATGGATCATAACGTGTATTTAGAGTGCGAGACCATCAGTGCAGTCTTATATTCATATGCCTTTGAGAAGAAAGTGCCGCAGACTTTTAAAGTTGTATCCCACTGTAGCTGGTTTTGGTTGTGACACGCAACAATGTTGTCACGTGTTCTGGCACACCAAGCCATACCAAAGCTGCCTGAAGGTTGCATAAGCGAATGCTAACAGCTAGCATGAACGTGAACAGGTGCTACCAGTGTGATGGCAACAGTCGTAACTTCATGCTGCATGAGGGCATGAAGTTGGTTTTTCTGCATTGGTATAGGTTTGCCAAGAAAGGTGAAGTGACACTCGAGCGATCGTATTTGGGAATGCAAATACGTACGCTACAATGTACAAACAGCACTTCGAAATTCTCGTCTGTGAACAGAACTGCCGGCATTTTTATAACGGCACATAGCCAGCTACTCCACTGCAGACAGGCATAAATAACAATGCAACCCTTTGCACAGTGCAACAATTGCTCTGATGCAATTGTCCTGTACCATGACGCAAAACCTTGTAAAACTTGTTGCATCCTTGAAAGCGACAGCTTGAGAGCTAATAAAAACCAAGCTACAAATGTTTGCTGCCTCACGTAATGGCATCATCTCGCACGGTGGAATGGGCTTTCAAAGATATGATAGGTGTAAAAAATAGAGCCCACAGGCGTATGTGTTGAAATCCGTTGAGTCCTCAAAGGATGGCGGCAACTGGGCATCTGCTAGCCAGGAAATGGCCGAAAGTGCCTACAGAACAAAGTTATCTTGGTGCTCATGGTGCTTGACAACCAGCTCGAAGGTTGCGGGGTTGATTTTCGGCTGTGGCGGCTGCATTTTAACGGAGACGAAATGCCAGAGGCCCGTGCACTTAGATTTCGGTGCACGTTAAAGAACCCCAGGTAGTCGAAATTTCTGGAGCCCTCCAGGAGTCATCCCTCATAATCATACTGTGGTTTGTGGACGTAACTATTATATTTTTATGCGCCGCTTACCTAAAGGACGAAGAAGTAGAGGACTGCTCTGGCAGTCCTCAACTGAAGTGGTGCCCGTTCTCGCCATCTCAGTTGTTTTTACCCGCATTACTGTGACTGTAAATATTGTAAATACACCCATTTTCTGTCATCTCCTTGTAACAATGTTGTTGTTTATGTGGTCCTGACAGGTTCTGACAACCCAGACGTCGTCAGAATCAGCCAGCAGCGATAAATGAATGTACACTAAAAGTGCAACGTGCCGTGGGCGGAGCAACTCAATGAGAAAAAAACAAGTGCGTTCTCACGTCCTCTAATAGCCTGCAGGTAGCCAAATGTGGCCAGAAGTGGAAAATTGAGAAGGCTCAATGACTGCGGTGAGCACGGTTGTTGGCCACCAAGAATCGGATATGTGGATCTAACGCGATGGATATGAGTACCGGCAGATTACAGCATAATCGCTAGCGCTCGCATACGCTTGAGATTGTACTCGGCTATTTGCAGCAATTGATAAATCTGGTTAGACAGTTGAGAAGGTTCAAGCAGGCAGTGGTCAAATGTACAGGGGTGGTCTATACCGAGAGCTAATGCTTGCGACAGGTAGCCGGAAAATTTTGGTAGCGGTGAGAAAGATAAAAAAAGCTTGTTACTTGAATAAAACACACCAAAACATAGGGCATGTGAAAGAAGTATGCATACAATGCTGGCAGGTTAAGCCATTGATGTGCATCAAAACCAGTTGAGAAGACGCCTCTCGAAGAAGGAAAGGTCAGAGGCTAATGGCTGCTTCGTCATGTACATTGATGTTTCTGTTAAAAAACTATTCAGCATTGTGTGTGTCTGCTTCTGTCACCCTGCATTTTTGACAGCTCTTCAAGTAACATGACTTTTCTATAAACTTTTCTTTTTTCTTTTTTTTCTGTAGACTTTTCTATAAACAAGTGCATGTTTCGGTATTCAAGAAAAGTTCAGAAGTGTCTGGGATTTCAAGCTGCAGAATGCTCGCCAGTGATGTGGCTAACATTGCCAGTAGCTTGCGCATAAAGCCTCAGATATATCGCCTGCATACCAGAAACCAGGTCATTCTAGAGATGAGCATTGATTAACTTTGGCCGTCTGTTTTTTTTGCAGTCCAAGCTTGTGCCCTTAGCCCTTTCAGATGCCAGCTCATAAGCACTGTCTGTAAATTTGTCAAATCACTACAATGTTACTTCAAGGCACTTAATATTCTATTGTAACAAAAATACTGAGATAATTTTTAAATCTATGTGTGTTAGAGTAATTAAGTTGCAGTTAAATATGTATTTATCCAGAAGTAATTGATGCTCACTTTTGGCATAAACAGAATCTAATCTCAGGCTAGAAATATAGTGAAAATTCATTTTTGGTTATGTTAATCATGAGCAAGAAAAATTTCTGCTTGTCACATTGCTTGCAGGAAGCGGCACGGCGCACGACTCGTCAAATGTGGTAGTGCCTTCAAAAAAGTGATAATATGTATCAGTACTCTGCAAAATGAAGTTTAAAGAAGACAATTATGCAGGAGGGTCAATTCACCTAATGTACGATATATCTTGCTCTTTCTTAGCCTCTACTTGTTGCAAATAACAAAAACGATTGGTGTACACAATTGTGTACGTAGTGTCTCAAAGGGTTAAAGGGGTACTGACACAAAAATTTTTGCCCCGCATTTTTTCGCTCTAATGTGTTCCTGGGGACCTGTTAGTCATAACACGACACATCGTTTTTGTCAGCGAGCGAGAATTAATTACAGGCTCGTTATGACCGACCAGTGTCACATTCGGTATCAAAAAACGATAAGCCACCAGGTGCTGCTATACCACTTGGTGGGTGCAACGCTCGACCATGCCAGCACATAGAACTGTAACGCACTTCCAATGAAGAAGCTTTTTCAGACAGGAAACGGGACGGAAACGTCATCAAACGCAAAACCTTCATCTTGTGCGCTGCGGCCACGGATTCATGAGCAGCGGCCGAGTAATAGCCTGCCGGAGCAAACGCTACAAAAAAAAAAAAAAAAGAGGCTATGACTTCGTCATAACTTGCCGCAGCGTGGTCACGTCAGGGAAGTAGGGGGTCCCCAAAGGTCCCCTTTGAGGGTGTCGCTAGCCCGATGGAGTCGATGGCTCACGCAAACTTCGAAATTAATTCAAATACCTTCCAAGCTATATTCGCTGTTAATATTTGGCAGATGATATATGCAAATTCACGTAAATCGATCCCTCAGGCTATCTTGGCCATGAAATTTTGTGTCAGTACCTCGTTGAGGATAGCACTTGTTGAATGAATGTGTGTTAAGGTTATGTGCAAGCGTGTCTTATTTTTGTACTGTGTTTCAGGAAGAGCTCGATGCGAACAACCTGAATGTAGGCAGTGATGTGAACATAGACAATGTATCTCTAAAGCCTCATTCTGTATATGGTGCGAAGTTTTCAGTTGACAGATTTCAGTACACTGAAAAAAGAAGTGTTTTTATGTGAGCGCTTCGCTTGCCATAACCACTGAGGTGTTGTGTATATAGTATGCATTTTTGCTGCTAATTCAACTTTTGTGTTTTCGCACGGATGAGTCTACACGTAACTATCTTGGAACAAATTTTTGTCTTATTTGGACAGTTTCTCAACGTTCAAAATGTTTTGTGAGGAGGTTAGAAGCTGTTCACCTGTACCAATTTAGTGCCTACTCATTTCGGGTGCAAAGAAAAAAATTGCAGCATCAATACGAAGTGAACGGTGATGAGTGGGCAAAGCTCCGGTGTATTATTCCGGTGACCGTGAATCCCCTGCACATTGCCCACATGAATATGCAAATGAGTGACAACCCGTGTGTTCAGTATCACAATGCTGTTTAATTGACCGTCATAAGGGTCGATTCCGCGAGGGCCTTTTGTAGGTGAGAGCACTTTCATGATTGTTTTTCTCCGTGGCAGACAGAGAATGCGTGGGCTGGAACACGCTTGTTTGTCAGCGTCATGGTGTATAGTGGGTACCTTACATGTGCTGCGCCATGATTGCAGAAAAAGAATGTGTGATCTGGAATTAATTTTTTTTCATTGTCATGAGCTTTACGGTCATTGTTATGGTGTATAGTGGGTACTATGAATGCGCTTGTTTTTCATGTTCATCGTCATGGTGGACGGCGGGCATGACTCGACCCTAAGTAGCTTCGCCGCTAAAAAAACAAAGAGCCAGAGCTAGCAGTGCTTCGAGCAGTGGAGGAAAGCACTCACCATTCGTGGCATTTACCTCGTTGTGCATCCATTCCTTGAACTCAGTGCAGTGTAGGCAATCACGACTGTGGTGTGTAGCTGTATTTTTTTCCACTTTCGAATTCTGTCGCTTTCATTCTCATAATTCTATGGAACATTATGGAGCAGTTTTTTTTTTTATGCTGTGCTTATCCGTTCAAAGCCTGTAACTGTATTCCGAGACGATCAGCTTTGTCGATATCACTTTGGAGATAGCACACCGATCGGCTTGTTGAGGAAAGGCAGGCTAGTAGTCAATGGCATGACCCTGAAAGTTTTGAACTTAAATACCGATAAGGCATCAGAGGCCAACTGCTTTAAAGTTGCTGTGCTGTCTTATTCAAAGTAGCATATACGTATACCGAAAAGTCCACGAGAAAATTAGAACTCTTGAAAAGGTGGGAAAGTTCGCTGTGTCTTTTGGTAGGCACACGAAAACCCTGAATAACTAGCGGCAATCCTGGAATTGTTTAAGGGGCAACTAAAAATGGAGTCTTTCAGATCGAGACACTCGTGAATGATGTCGTCTGCTGTGTGGTGTGTTGACCACTCGTTCAAAGGAATTTCGTTGATCAGTAGAATGTCTAGAGATGTCTAGACTGATACCACACAGAATGCCTCCATTACTACTACTGGGTACATGAGTCATCTGGCTAAAAATGTTGCTAACGGGAATATCATTACACCAGTGGCCTTGCCAAGCATCACTTCTGTGATTTATACTAGTATTCTTTTGTAAAAAACTCATAAATTTAGCCAAAGTGATACTTTGTGGCAGTTGGTTTTTGCATTCAACCGTTAGTGGTGGTTGTCTTTTTGTGCTGTTTTTATTTGAAGTATGTGACGCATTGAGAGTTAAATGTACGGGTCATTACATGCTTTATATTCATTGAGGGCAAAAAGTATGCATTTTATATTTTTACTTATATGGGAGCTTTAGTAGCTTTAGCACATATGACTTGTATTATCCTTGCACTAGACGCGTGTTGCGCCATTTTTGAAAGTTGGGTGCTCGGGTCACATTTTACTCATACTGTGTTTTTAACACCATCTCACGAGTACATCCACGCTTGCTCACATTGAGCCTGCCATGTTGTGTCATTTTAACTGTGTGCAGTGTTCCTGCATTTTTGCTTGTATTTGGAATGAACTTCCGTACCAAGCCTTAGGAATGCACTTCATGAAACTCATGACAAATAGGCGACTAGCCAGCATCAGGTGTTGTTCAAAGCAAACTTGCGTTTTACAATTTTATGCAGTTTGTTTTTACATTAACTTATTTTGGCATTATCCTGGCAACTTCAGCCAGGATAACCGTTATGACACCGTTATGGCCCTTTGAGCCGTTTGACACCTGGTATCTGGATGTACAAGTGTAGTCTTTGTATCTAGCTGTTGAAGAACTGGTGTTCTGATGATTATTTTTCTATTATTTTTGTCATTTATGCTTTTATTTTGTAGTGGAAAGTTAGTCTGTCGGGCATTTCCCACTCCTGCATTGTGTTGTGTAACCATAGGATTGGAAATTGAGCTGTGAATTAAGCGATTTATATTTGTGGACTTGCCAACTGTTAAAGCATTTCTTTTGTTCTTGTCCTTTATGTTTTGATGAAGTAATATTTGCATTTACATTGCTGCTGTTCTGTAACAGTCCTGTGAACCTGTGATCCTTTCTTTCTTATTCTTTTTAGATGAGCATTGATATGTATGGTCAAAATGCTTTTTGCAAAGTTGTTCAATGGTGAGTGAGGCTGGGAAGCATGCAAGACAGGCAGTTGGCTTTCACATTGCCTGATGGATTAGAAAATGCTGTAATTGTGTTTGGTAATTGAATGGTTAAGCTCAAAGCTAATTCTTACAGACTGGGCCAGTTGACACATTATTCAGTGTAGACAGGTGAAAATTCCTTTGCGATACACATTTCAGGCTGCTATTGACGGCATTGTATTGTGCATCTACCAAAGTGCTGACTGAAATAAATTGGTAAATTGCCACCTGTCTGCGATAACACTTGTGAAGCTGTACCTTTCACGAGAGTTAACTATCGTGCCGCCACCTAGTTCATCACGAAGAATGACAAGCAGGCACATCGCGTCACAGAAATTTTGTTGTATGTTGGCAACTTGCGCTTTTTCACAGGACCAATTTCTTTCATTCTAACAAGCATGAATGAGCACACTGTTTCACCGAAAGATCTGCATCTTGAGGGAGCATTATGACCAAAATGCACAAAAGAAGCGTTAACCGTGGAATGTGGTGTCGATAAGCTTTGTCAACCAAGTGCCGATTTGTACATTTCCATTGGAAGCATTTTCTCTGGTATTATTGTACAGTAATACAGTACACAATAGAATTGATGATGCACATGCAGCCACAATAGGTGGTGCACCTTTTAGACGGTATTGCCTCATTTGTTGTAGCCATACCAACGCTCTTCCGAACCTTATTGCAGATACTGTTAGGCTGATATAAGCGTACACCATGTGAAAAAGAAATGAAATGAGAAATAAAATGAAACAGAGTAGCTAGGAAGAGAGTTGAGGCAATTCTAACAACCCCCAAAATTTTTTCATGCTTTAACTTTTTGGGTGATTCTGAAATATTTGTACGCCCTCACATCAACCAAAGGGCTGCTTTACACATGAATACCCTGAAAAAAATTTCGATAGTGAGAATGCTGCATTTCACTATTCTCACCATCGATGCATTTCTCACTATCGATGCATTTTCGATAGTGAGAATGCTGTACGTCCGTGTGCTCATATTTGGGTGCATGTTAAAGAACCCCAGGTGGTTGAAATTTCTGTAGTCCTCCATTACGGCTCTCTCATGATCATATGGTGATTTTGGGACGTTAAACCCCACATATTGATATCAAATGAGTTTTCTCATTGTTGAAAATATTTTTTATCATAATAATGTCACCTGAATAAGAAGGGAAGTTGAAAAAAATCAATTATATTGTAGAGGAAAAGTATGAACAAAAGTACACATTTTTGTCTTCGGAGCAGTTTTCAAAAATGTGTGCTTTTGTTCATAGTTTTCCTGTACAATGAACAAAAATTTTTGTCTTCGGAGCAGTTTTCGGCGTCTCTCATAATCATATGGTGGGTTTTGGGACGTTAAACCCCACAAATCAATCAATCGGAGCAGTTTTCATTCTGTAGAATGCACACTTACCAGTGCATGATTAACTTCACCTGTTGACACGTTTACTTAATGCTCAACTACTCAATGTCATCAATAAATGCACTATGGGGAAACATGATGATCACTAAAATAACTATGGTGGAAAAATGTAAATAACACCAAAAAACACAAGCGACCAGAAAATTTAACAAGCTAATTGGCAAAAGCAGACTCTAAAATTCACTGTTTATAAGTGGAAATAGCAACTCTATACGAAATATAGTGACTGGGGTAGCGCGCACATGCTAGCTACTGAAAGACATTCAACTTGGTGACTTCATCTTGAATCATTTCTATAACCCAAACTATCGATACCATGCTGTAACAACGACGGCACCCTTCCTTTTGATTGGGTGTGGTGTTTGTGCCATCTATTTGCACGTACTGCAGAAAAACTGATGCAAAAATTTTACCCATTGCTTTTTTTTTTTGTTGCAATAGGTAGCTTAGTCTAGAATTCAACGAAACATCATCTGGTCAGGTAAAGGCATTGTTGAAAAACGGGTCACTGACCAATGTCAAGCAAAACACTCCCGGACATGGCTTCATGTGTGCAGCGCTGCTACATAAGATCCTGTTGCTCAGCCGCCATTCCAATCTGAACAGGGAATTCGTACAAATCCCAAAACGTCATTTGTGTTGTTTGACATTGGCCAGTGACCTGTTTTTCAACAATATGGAGCTCATGACCCCCTTATGGTGGCTCGAAACCTTGTTTGTGCAAGTGCGCGACGGTTATTTATTTGGAGACGTGTTTGGAGTGCCCAATCGCAGTTTCGGTTTCAAAGAGCACTTAGCTAGGCAGGAGCAGCTCCGGTGCATAGGTAAATACTGCCGACCACGCAATGCCGCAACGTGGCTGCCACACTGGTAAGCCAACACAAACACGTGGCGCAGGTTTGCTTACAAAGACGCCACGTTGATGTCAGCGTCGCGAGTGGCTGCGGATCTCGCTCAGTTGCGCGACGTGCACTTTAAAATTGATTTTAAGTATGCCTTAGGCTACGTTTTCCCTTCGTAATTCGTAGAACATGAATCTATCTCATTCATTACCTCGGCTTCGAAACTTTGTGTTAGGGCTCTTTAATCACCCTCCTTCTTCCATCGCTTCATTGTCAACAAGCCCCTTGCACGATATCCAAGGCACCTTTCTTTTGGTATTTTGGCGTTTGACATTCCGAAGTAACACGTGGGCTATGCTGAGTGGAGGCATATGCATAAATTCTGACCCCCTGGGTTTTTATTTTGTCCACATGTATTCTAAGTACATGTACATTTTTGCATTTCACACCCTATCTGATGCGGCTGCAATAGCCCAGTACTGAACATGCAATGTTGTGGGTTTCTAGAATTCAAACAAATAAATTGCAGCAGCTCTGAGATGAAACTTTATTTACAATGACCTTTGTACAGCAACCACGTTCCCACCAATGCTCGTGACAGACACTGAATCATGGCACTAGTATGTGCAAAAGAAAGTCATGGTGTGACAGTGAGGAAAAAAATCTGTACAATCGTCGTTCCACCAAGAGGAAGCCCAGGTAGTAAAACACCGTGACAAATTGCCATGGATAACGTCTATGGCCAATGTCCCCTTGCTTCTGGGACAGAACTCACATCAGCTGTGAAATGATAAAAACATGAGCATACAGGTATTTGTGGAGCCAGTGCCAATACAGAGATGTGTACTGAAGTGATACAACATGTGAAACATAAGGGCACACCGAACATTCATCATCATCAGCCTGACTACGCCCACTGCAGGGCAAAGGCAAGCAAATACACTCAACGTCTCGTGAGAAAACAGCAGCCCAGATAGAAGTTGGGTATTTGAACTACAACACCCAAAAATGCTTAATATTTAAGAACAAAAGATAAAAACATGAGGAGGCACTTGTTTTCCACTTCAATGAGCAAAATTGCACCAACAAGACAGGTAAAACTTATTGACAAAAATAACAAAGTAGGTTGCAAAACTTTTTCAATAATACTTTGCTGCTTGCAGAGAGAGGCTTAGGCAGAAATTCTTTTATGGAGGGGGGTGGGGGTGGCGGGGGCATCTCCTTGATTTTGGGACTTGAAATGGTAATTTTTCACTGTATCCTATGGCGAAAAAAATTTCAAGGAAGGGGGGGGGGGCATGGGCCTGCTGTGCCACCCCCCGGGTTTACACCACAGCCTGGAGGCAACACCACGCAGAACCCGGACAGTGAGCTTAGCCCCAAACCATCTAAGCGACAGCTACAAGATATCATTTAATGCGTTGCGTGCTCCGTCATGATGAGTGGCACGAGATGTTTGCTCGATTTATAAGACATGACCCTAATCACAGTGGAAAGCATTTTAAGGGCCTCGGCTTCCTCAATTAAGCCTCTTATGATAGCATGATTGGACCATGCACCCTTGGAAGCTTCGCGCTTCGTCGGCGGCGGGGCAGTCGTGGAAAATGCATGCTCGTACTAAAATACCAAAATGCTGAGCGAAATTTTTTGATTGTCTGTGGAAAAAATTCGTTATACCAAGGTTGTCTCCCACTGTTACTTTGTTACATAGAGGTCGCAAATACATGTGCTGCATTGGAGCGACGGCGGGGAATAAAAAAATAGTTGGTTATATCGAGGAATTCGTTACATGAATGTTCGTTATAAGTAGGTTTAACTGTATTTCGTTTCCCCCCAGACCTTTGTCAGCGGTAGACAGGGTATGAAGTAGACAGATGACTGAGCTAAGAGAACCTGCCCCCCCCCCCCCCCCCCCCACTCACTACAACACACCGGCGAACACGAATAGCCAGTACTGTTTCACGCTACACTGCATTTTGCAATGCGGGCTGTCGTAACCGTTGTTCTCACGGACACTTGATGCTAACCACGCAAGGGCAGCCACACATAACTCTTGTAGAACTTTCCTGCACAGCACACCTTCAAAAAGAGATCACTCAATTGTATTGAAACTACATCACAAGGGCTCTCGGATGTGTTACCTGAAAAGCCTAAAAGAAGGAAACATTCATAAACCTGATCCGAAGGTAGTGAAAATAAAACAGAACAAATAAATGATGCCTCGATCCCTTTATGGAGGAGGGCTATTTACAACACTGCAATGCTTGCCTCATTGCAGTCATCACATAAAACAGCCAGGGCTGTCAAATAGAGAGCTTGCTGGCATAAGCTATGCTATACAGGAACACGCCTTGAAATGTGTGCTTAAAGTTTGGGTCTTTAGCAAATCAACAAGATCCTAAACACTGCATCGAAATTTATAACAAACATCCGTACTAGTACCAAGAACCAAGATGCAGAAGAATGCGTGAAAAAACAATTTCTGATCGTGCACTCGCTTGTTAAATGTAGTTTTGACAGGTTACAAGCACTCTATTATTTGGGCAGGATGATTCTGCAAGCGGTACGTGTACAAACGTTACTCCAACAACCTATTGGGAGTGAAACACTGCGACTTTTCAGGGAGTGAGACATTGCGGAAAAGCCCTCACCTCATCCTTGAAAGAAAAATACTGTGTAGACTCGTGTAGATGATGCAAGCACGTAAGTGCCCCGAATGCCATAAGCGACATGAGACATGGCTTGACTCAGAGGATAATAGCCAATTGTGTGTCTTCCATGAATTAATGAATAATTTGTACCTTTTCTATTGCGGCGCAGGAGACTGTGAAGGATTACGGTTGATTTCACTCACAGTTAAAAATATTTGTCCAAATAGCCTGGTTCTGTGTTAGGCGCCAAACCTCGCCGAAGTTGCAAAAGGAAAAAAGAAAAAGGTGCGACCCTTACACGAGCCTATGTGGAAGGTGCCAGCACAGAAGAATAGTACTGCTCAGCTCATGACAATGTAGTTTGCCTTGCAGTGCACCACAAACTCGGAGACTGCGTCTCCCTCACCGGTGCCACCCCCAGCGCCCGAAGCCCCGCTACTTTCTGCGATCGCAGCTGCATTGCGCAGCCCACCCGTAATTTCCTCGCTTTCGGCCAAGGGAAGAAACAGCTGGACGAACTCGGGCGTGTACGGGGGTGCGATGACATCAAGAACCTCGGTGACGAAGTAGCGAATGAGGGACACGTCGGTGTCCTGCCGCTCCCAGCAGGCCCGGACGTAGCTGACGACTGGCACGACGCACCCTCGACTCAGCAAGTGCACCATTCGGTCCAGGAGCATCTTACGTCGCTCCAGCTGAACCAGCACGTCGAGCTCTTCGTGCGGTGGGGACTCGAAAAGTCGCACCAGAAGGTCCAGCACCTGTGGGAAGTATGGGTCATCAGTGGGTTGGCACAATGAGTTATGGGCAAATCTGACAAATTACAAAAGTACAAAAGTCTGCAAACAGGCCTTTTCTGTACACAGACCTACGCATAGGCGAGCCTCGCTGCAGAGCCTTTGCACAAAGCATGGAGCAAGGTAAAATATGTGCATTCGTAGGCATAACATGTGTAGGCGAGTTTCAATGCAAAATGCAAGTAAAATGTAAATGCAAGTAAATGTAAAATGCAAGTTATAACCAGTAATTTATGCTACATTAAATATTGACTATATATTTGGAGCATATAAGAAGTTATAACAAGTTTTTAAACTTAAAAAAAAAAAGAAAGTGAAGAATCGATGTGAGGATATTATCTTCATTTACCTGAAATTTTGCGGTAGTGCGAATTTTCCCTAGATAAATGTTCTCACGGTTTATCCCCCTTCACTGCAGCGAAACCACCTTTACAGAAGGTTACATGCGAACTAATGTACACCTATTTATTAATTTCAAATAATTCAGAACTTTCAGCTATTTAAATTTGAGTTGAAGTGAATTAGAACACAGCAATATTAATTTGAATACTCAAAGCATTAGAATATATGCACAAGCCTAGTATGCAGTTGTAATTACTACACTTCGTGCCAACATGAACGCAAAATAGGGTGACTTGGCTTCGCTTGCCTAAAAAGGGACAAAAACTGTGCTAATGAATGCACATTGTCTTTTTCGACTCGAGAAAGTAGGATACTGTGGTTACACAATAATTCACATTCTCGAACTGGTCAATTGAAGAGATTTCACAATGTAATACAGAACACACTCAACAAATAAAAATCTCTCAGACGGAACTGCTGCTTAAATAGAACAAGTGCTCCCAACAAGATTGGTACTTTTTTTGTGTACCCCATAAAATCTCTCAGCAAGTGGAACTGCTATAAAGTGGAACACATCTTCCTAGTCCCTTCAGGTTTCATTTAACAAGTCTACTGTTATCCACTTTTCCTTCTTCAGATTGTTATTAGAATTACTTCTAATAACATCCCCTATACTTCCCTTGGCGTGATTGTTAGAATATTGTGACTAACAAGGAAAGCGAGCCCTTTTATATATATATATATATAGTTATAAACTTCGAGAATAGTGCAATATAGGAAACAAAACAATAAAATATTTATTTAATCCTAACAGTTTCGGCTGGTGGACCAGCCTTCTTCGGAGGATGTAAGTGAAATGATACAAGTTCCCGTAGCAGAGGGTCACCCTCACAGTTTAAAGACCCCCCCCCCCCCCCCAAAAAAAAAGAAAAAAAAAAACAAGCGGGCGAACGAGGTAGCAACAGACAACAAGAAGCAGAAGAAGGAGAGGAACTAGAAAGGAGCGACGGAGAGCCGCCGGAAACGAGCGGGTAATTCTGGCATTGTTACTTGGTATAGGTAAGACCAGCGGAGGCGACCAAGAAAAACGGAAAAATGTGGAACATGTTGCCGCTTACTCGCATCCCACACATGGATCGAGTTTAAGTTCACGTGGTTCGGCCGCTGGCCCGCGGCATCGCCCCCCCCCCCCCCCCCCCCCCACACACACACAAGAAGCATACGACCCGCTCCAGCTTTCGGAATATAATGGCCACGTTGGAAAGCTAATGTGCCCTCTCCCCCTCCCTCCACCTGCCCTCTCTTGCAGAAAAATGTACAACCAGTCATACTGAAAATAAATAAATGGGTATTCTTGTAAAGGATGAAAATATATAAAAAAATAAATAATACTAAAAAAGTACTCAGAAATGAAAATAAAGTCTAATAATACTAACACACGCCATTTGGTTCACGTAGCATCGAATTCGTTTAGTTTCGCTATACGTTGTGGGAGGATTGCTGGCGGAGTATTTTAAAGTCGGCCACGCACCGTCTCGCCTCAATTTCTTGTCCTTCTTGCCCTGAATGGTCAATCTCTTTTTTCCTTCGTATTTGGCCAGCTCTTCTGTTTCTGACTGCATTAAACTTGACTGTTTTAGTCGCGCCTTTTTTTTTTTAACGCAGTCAGAAACAGAAGAGCTGGCCAAATACGAAGGAAAAAAGAGATTGACCATTCAGGGCAAGAAGGACAAGAAATTGAGGCGAGACGGTGCGTGGCCGACTTTAAAATACTCCGCCAGCAATCCTCCCACAACGTATACAGATCAACCTGTTACCTCTCATCAATCTCCACAAAAGAGCACTGATGTCACCAATGTGGTTAACCTTTCCGGCAAATCTTTGACACCTGCGCAAACAAAGCTGCTATCAAAAGGTCTAACCTTCTGCCCCGCCTCTGGCAAAATTGATGAGTTTAAACTTTACCAAGATTTGGACAACTTTGCCAGAACCATGCGTCTAAAAGAATATTTTCATGATCGAAGCAGCACGCAACAAAATCAATTTTCAGATAAATCTTGGACTCCAGGTGAACAACGAGACAAATATCTAGACATGTACATTTCAGCCGTCCAGGGTGATATAATCAGGGAATATGAAAAGCGCCGACCCATTCGCAACAATCTGTCCAAAGAGGAGCGGGAGGCTTTGCGCAGTTTAAGTGACAGCCAGAGCATCGTTATTAAACCAGCTGATAAGGGTGGTGCTGTGGTTGTACTCGACAGGACTGACTACATCAAAGAAGGGCTTCGCCAACTGGCAGATGAAAATTTCTATAAACAACTCCCTTGTGATCCGACAGAGGAGTATGAAAGTACTATTAAGGCCTCACTAATATCATTACGTAAAAGTGAGAAGATAACATACCCTATGCTTAAAATGATGTCACCTGGCAAATCGTCTCCCGGGAGTTTCTATTTACTACCCAAAATTCACAAGACTAACAATCCCGGCCCACCCATAGTTTCCAGCAACGGTACTGCTACTGAAAAAATTTCTAGTTTCATTGACTCTCTGATTAGGCACATCCCACAATCATTCCCATCATACATCAAAGATACCAGCCACTTCCTTCGAGAAGTCTCAAAACTTGTGGTACCTCTAGATTGCTATTTGGTCACCATGGATGTCTCATCACTGTACACAAACATTCCCCACACAGAAGGAATCGCCGCCACAGTCGCCGCCTATGGAAAAAGTAAATCGGCGAGTGAATTCGACGAAAGCGCTTTAGAGGTGCTCCTAAATCTGGTACTTAAACATAATAACTTTGAATTCGACCAAAACCATTATCTGCAAGTAAACGGAACTGCCATGGGAACCAAAATGGCCCCAAATTATGCAAATATTTTCATGGCCTCTGTGGAGATTCCTTTCCTCGAAAATTCTCCATTCAAACCTATATTTTACCGACGCTTCCTGGATGATATATTCTTCGTGTGGGCCGATAGTGAACATAATCTTTCCAAATTCATTTCCGGTTTCAACTCCGTGCATCCTTCGATAACATTCACGCACACGTATTCGCAGAAGAGTGTTCACTTTCTGGATGTCACTGTATCACTCAGTGGCACCACCATATCTACTTCCCTGTATAAAAAACCAACAGACCGCCAACAGTATCTGCATTTCCATAGCAGTCACCCCCATCACTGCAAAACAGGTGTTCCTTACTCTCAAGCCCACAGATACAGAAGAATTTGCTCTGAAATCACGCAATTTGACACCCACGCACAGGAATTGAGAACAGCCTTCTTGCGTCAAAAGTACCCCGAAAAAATAATTGACAATGCAATTGAGCGCGCTCGCTCTTTGGACCGAGAATCAACAATGGGAGAAAAAGGTGGGAATAAAGATGATATAACTTCAGGGGCAAATTTAATCCTCACGTACTGCGCCGCCGCCCCTCGGGTGAATTCTATACTAAACCGCCACTTCAACATACTTAAACAGAGTAGTCGCCTCTCTGCCATTTTTCAGACTCCGCCCAAGGTGGTTTACCGAAGAAATAAAAACCTGAGAGACTTACTGGTCAGGGCGAAAACACACAAATCCGACCACCATCAGGGCTGTAGACCGTGCGGGAAACCTCGCTGCAGGGTGTGCACACACATGGTGACCACAGATACGGCCGAAGCCTCCTGTTCAGACTATGTGTACAAAATTAAAGACGGCCTTAACTGTGACTCAGCCAATGTGGTATGCAAAATTCGCTGTGAGGTGTGCAAACAGGAATATATTGGACACACGGAAACCGCGTTCCGTTTGCGTTTCAACAACCACAGGGCACACGTAAAGGGCCTCCCCAATTTGCCGTTCTCCAAACATATCAATCTTCCTGGTCACTCTTTCGAACGCGTAAGTGTCATACTCCTACAATCCGGCTTCCAGAACACACGGGAGCGCGAACAGCGGGAGTCATACTTTATAAAGAAATTCAGATCACTTACCCACGGAATCAACGAGAGCCCTGGGCGACTGACGTGTCTCCGCGACGTTTCGTGAAACACAGAAATTGAATTACTCAATTAATTTATTTATACATACGTGAAGTCGCACACGCAAGTTGGTCAATATAGCGAAACTAAACGAATTCGATGCTACGTGAACCAAACGGCGTGTGTTAGTATTATAAACCTTTATTTTCATTTCTGAGTACTTTTTTAGTATTATTTATTTTTTTATATATTTTCATCCTTTACAAGAATACCCATTTATTTATTTTCAGTATGACTGGTTGTACATTTTTCTGCAAGAGAGGGCAGGTGGAGGGAGGGGGAGAGGGCACATTAGCTTTCCAACGTGGCCATTATATTCCGAAAGCTGGAGCGGGTCGTATGCTTCTTGTGTGTGTGTGTGTGTGTGTGCGTGCGCGTGTGCGTGTGTGTGTGTGTGTGGCCCGATACCGCGGGCCAGCCGGCGAACCACGTGAACTTAAACTCAATCCATGTGTGGGATGCGAGTAAGCGGCAACATGTTCCACATTTTTCCGTTTTTCTTGGTCGCCTCCGCTGGTCTTACCTATACCAAGTAACAATGCCAGAATTACCCGCTCGTTTCCGGCGGCTCTCCGTCGCTCCTTT